AAAAATAATAAATGCATACTAAAAATTATATTTTGAATGGAATCTTTAAAAAAAATATTTTATAATTACAAGCAAAAACTTTTAAAAAGTTCTCAGACTGAAGGTGAAATACACAAAAGGTAAAATTAACATTAAGGGGTTCAAACTTTGGACGGGTCTCGTGACCAGACTATTGGAACTATATTTTCCGGAATACCGCTAGATCCTATGTTCTAGGAGTCTGAAATTTAAAAAAAAAAGTATGTTCATGCAGAGAAAACATTTATGTGTGTGACTTAAAACATCGTCTGCACTAATTAATCAACATACTTGAGGTTAACCATTAAGATTGAGTCCCAGAATGTGAAAATCCGATCAGATTAAATCAAAAGCGATTCAGGGATTTTTATTTTGCGCACTATACATAAGGTAATTTAGTTAAAATCGTTCATGTAAAACTTAACTAAAATGAGTCATAAAATAAGGAAGAATATAAAAAGTTTTGTTACTTCAAAAATAAAGTGTTTGCTTTTCTTCTCTACAAAAGTTAATGATTACTATCCTATAAAATGTATAAATTAATTTAGTGTAAATAATTTAGTTGAACCAGGGTTGGCAAGGTTTAGGACATAACGGATTAATCCACGGTTTAAACCCTGGTTTAAACTGCCCTGTCTAAAACCCCTTTGTCCAAAACTGGCTTAAACTGTCCAAAACCCTTTTACTCAAATTATGTCACAATTTTATCATATTTAAGAGGTAAAATAGACATAGAACTAATAACATATTGATAATTAAATATACTACAGAATATTTGCTTTTAAAAGTATAATGTTTTATTAATATTCTTTGATTTTTCAATTTAAGCATTAAACAAGGGAAGATTAATCAGTAATCAAGTTCAATTGGTCCTCTCATTCAATAATACATAACTGAAGTTTGACCTTGCCATACAGGTTAAGCTATTAGGGACTAAGTGCTTGGTTAGCAACTGCAAAACAGACCCATTTACTAAATAAGTAAGATACTTATTCGCAAAAAAAGTGTTTAAACGACAGATTACTTTATTCTGAACAAAATATAAAAAAATTATTGCTCTATGACAAATATAAGGTGAGTTACAATCATTAATAGCCACTGATGTATGAATCAAAATGGCGTCAAATGTGCCATTTTGGCAAAAAGATAAATGCTTATAACTTTTAAACCCCTAAACCGATTTAAATATAATTGACATTTTTGAAATCAGCACAAAAAATTCTATAATTGTACAAATTTTCATCAAAATCTGAGATGGTGGGTGTCATTTTTGTAAAATCGTGTATGATTTGACATGGAATGACCCTACCATTAACGTTCACTGAATTATCTGCCATAGCAGTTAAAAAACAATTCAATGTACCAGCAATAAACACCTTTTTTCTTACAAATAGATCTGTAAGCTAACAAATATCACTACTGGTGTCATATTAAAAATATTTGAAATATTGAACTGTCAAAAGTTAAATTCAAAACAATGGGTAACGCTTAACTAGTCAGAAAATTCTATTTTGTTGTTTGCTTATCTTGCATGACAGTTCTTCATAGAATGCCATAACACTGACAGTGACCTTCTTAGTGCTTTGAATTATAAATATGCCGAATTTGATTGCTTTTGGCACACAGACTTGGCATAAAGACATTCATTCATATATATATATATATTATTTTATTTCCTAGCGACGTTATTGAAATTTAAAATAACTTTTATGCTTGGGAAAAAATTTCTAGAATCATTCTATAGAAATAAGTGAGCATGAAAATATTTAGAGTAAAGCTGTTAATTGTTTCAAAAGTTATAGTTTAAAGCGAAATGTAAATATTTTAAGTTCAAAGTGAGCTTTTGCAGCTATCTTCAATTTACAGAAGAGGTCAGAGTGGTGCAAAACTCAAACTTTTTATCTAGACATGGAGGTGTTGTTTCTGATGAATTTGTACATGTGAATAGAACTAAAAGTTAAAAAACTTAATGCGATTTAATTTAAAAAAATCATTACAAATTTAGACTTATAAATATTTAAGTATCTGACACTGCTGTCTGGGCAAGTGAGGTAATGTTTCGTAAGTTTCATTTATTCTAAATTGAACATGATTAAAAGAACATAAATAATTAAAAATGTTGTTTTTAAATCCAAACCAAGTTGTTGGCATCAGAACAGAATTTCAAGGCATTCAAATAGTCAATGATGAAATAATAATTTCTCTCAAAAGACAAGAATTTTAAAGGCTCTATATTTTGATTTACACTATTTAAAGCATAGCTGTCAAGAGAAGTTATATATTTTTTCATATGTTTTTTTTTTTAAAGTAATATCAAAAAAGGCAAAACCCAAAAAAGCTAGAGTTTACAATTTAGAAGTAATAAGATAATATGAGAGAGAAGTAATAAGTGTGTTAAAAAATACAATTTTATCTATTTGTGTGTTTAAAATTGTCATTTAATAGGTATTGGTTCCTGCATATTGTTTTGTTCTGAATATGATAACAAAAAAGCAAAGAATATAAAACTAAAAGCTTTCGTGTAAAAACCTTTAAATTACAATTTATTTACAAAACGTTTATTAATATGTATCAGATATAAATATAAGTAAAGATATTGAAGTTTGAAAGTTTCATAGTTTGGAAGTTATAAGGGTTTTTATGAGCAAATAGGTTTAACTGAACATATTCACTTTTTATACATGAGTTTGGATTTAGCAATTTTTACTGTACTATAATCATTTTAAGTACTCAAAGAGCTTTTCCAGGGTGTGCAGCCAAATCTTTCAAAAATAAGTAAAAAAAAGCACTATATACATTAACAAACTGAAAAATAATTTTCAAAGACTTTACATGATCCTGATAAATAACTAGTTTCTAACAAAGAACACAAAATTTCAAAATTATTATCATCATCATTACTTTTCCCCATATCTCATAAAGATAGATCCTATGTCTTGTCAAGATGGGAACACAAATCCCCAACTTTCTTCCAGTTGACATTCTAAGTAATATAATCATGCAGTACCTAGCTATTTTACAATAGCTAGACACTTTAATAGCTGCAGACATTTTAAAATAGCTACAGTTGTTTGAAAGTTAAAAGGGTGCATAGAGACTTCAACTTTACTGAGTACCATGTATATATAATGTATTAGTTTATTACTTTAGATAGAAGCTCCCCTGATTTTGATGTACTTTAATTTAGGACAAAATAAACATAAGCCAAACATTTAAATGGTTTAATAATATATGACCGTTACTGAATAAAAATTATCCATTTAGTTAGTATTTGAATATGGACTTATAAGTTTATAAGTCTAATAAAAAGTTTTTATAATGAAAATTTAGGGTTAGTCAATTTTCAAATAAACTTTTCGTTTAAAGGTTGATATTTTTTACAAAATAAGCTTATTTTACTTCTACAATACATGGTTTTTATAATTTTATGTTGGAATATTTTCTTAATATTTTATTTATAATGATATGAATGATTATCTTGACTTGAAAAGTAATAGATTACACGCGAGAAAAAATAAATTAAAACATAGGAAAAAAGAATATGTCATACAATACAGACTTTATAGTGGGCTAAAGAAAAATTAAAGAAAAAATAGGGACATTTTTTAGAACAGCAGACATATGCCAGACTACTTTTAAAAAAGACAAAAGGCAAACTAAAAAAAACATATAATTTGTTCTACTGAAATATATTAAATATAAAATAAAAAAATTTATTGATTTTTTAAATGATTAATTTGCTTTTCTGCGTTTTATGCTTGTTTTAAAATGGAACGTTTTTCCTGATATTTCAGAATGAATAAAACTCAAGAGTTAATGACTCATATCAGACAGGTAAAATTCAAACATATATAGCTAACAATTCAGATAATTCTCATCAAGAATCATATAACAGTATCAGTAGAATAAATAGAAATAACTCTTTTAATGGTAACCAAAAACCAAACACAAATTGAAAAAAAAAAAAAAAAACTGAAGGGTAAAGTTGTTGCTCTAATAAAAAAAAAAGCATAGCTAGTGGAAAGCAATAGGACTACTAAGACTTGAAAGAAAATTGCCAAACACTTGTTTATTCCATACAACATTATTTATAAGCTAAAGGTCANAATAAATAGAAATAACTATTTTAATGGTAACCAAAAACCAAACACAAATTGAAAAAAAAAAAAAAGCTGAAGGGTAAAGTTGTTGCTCTAATAAAAAAAAAGCATAGCTAGTGGAAAGCAATAGGACTACTAAGACTTGAAAGAAAATTGCCAAACATTTGTTTATTCCATACAACATTATTTATAAGCTAAAGGTCATGGTAAAAAATAAGATCAAGTACTTGTATAAATACAACAAAAAATTTGTTCGCCAGGGTATAATTATTTTACTATGAGCTATTTAACAAACGGAACAATCAATTCTATCACAATTTTGACCATAATAGGTAATAAAAGTTCGTAGTGCAAACGAAGCCACTTTTTAACTAAAACTTTTCTTCAATAGCAAATTTTGTGACTTGGTTTACGTAAATGTTAAACTAAAGACTAGTTTTGGTAGAAATACCCATTGCCTTTTTTCAAGAGTAAGTAGAAAATCTGCTACAAAATTAATTTTATTTAAAAGCAGCCAATACAAGTTATTAAAGAACTAAAACATATTTGTGAAAAATTATCAAAATTAAGAAAACCATCATTTTTAACCAAATTAACATACACAAAAATTATAGAAAACAGAAAGTATTCTTAACAATGGAGAACTAGTTGTTTGGGTACATTTTTAAACTGATAATGCAACATATGATTAGCAATAATTACAATAAAACTATAATCAGTAATTTTAAATCTCTTACAATAAATTACAGTTCATACAGTTAGAAAATACTTTTTTTTTTTTTTAAATTTGATAAATTCTTAAAATAAGCAGTAAATAGTTGGAATCAAATGTAAAACAATTTATGTTCAGTTATAAATTTTAAGCATTGAAATTATACTCACTATCATAACAAAGAAGGAGTTGCAAGCCTTTGGAATTAGGAAGAGTGACTATAGTGTGAGGTGTAATGGAGTCCTGAAACTAAAAGAAATATAAACATGAATATTAAAAACTTTTGAAATGTTTTGGACAATGATTAAAATAAACTATATATAAAGGTAATTAAAATAACATATAAAGGTACTTAAAACACGAGAAATACTGACATAAAATTACAAAACAATTAATTAAATCTATACAACAATCAACCATATAAAAAAAATTCTGCACAATCTAGCAGAAAAAATGTCAACTCCAAACTTCCTTATGAGTTTTGTGTATTGTTTACTACAACTTTAACTGCTTATCATATCATACTTATTTATTAACCTTTTCAAGAGGGATCGACATGCCACAACATGCAGGCTTCTCCCCAACATATCCTGGACTGTCTTGGTCTGGACAAAGGGGACATTCTGAATAAACCACTTTAAGTGGTCGACTTCCTCCGGGTCATGAATTTCATGGACATTGTTTAGCCCAGCTAACTTTGGGGATATGGAAGAGAAGAAGAAGAGAGAGGGATCGACAAAACATCTGTTGGAGTATCTTTCTGTGACTGGGGGAGGAAATTGTAAGAGGTAGCCTCTGTTCGTAAAAAAATAGTGACAGGAATGAAAGAATACTATCACTGTTTTTCTTAAACACTGTTCACTACTTTTCATATTTAGGGATAGTACAAGGACCACCAGAGAGGGACTCTTGTGCTTTTGTATAACTTTAAAAGTGCAGAAATCCTTTTTCAGTGGTTTTATTAGATTCAGCATAAAATATTGAACAAATAACATTTCACATATTGTTTTCTATAATAAATTATCAGCCTGTCCTATGTTATTATAACTTCTGCACCTTCAAGCATTCATTCATTTGCACCATGTAACACTTTGTCAATCTTTTTGTTTTGAAGTTTATCAATGCAGAATCTCAATAAATAATATTTCAATGTCTATAGGTATATTTATGTTAAAAAAATTAATGAATGGAAAAAAATAATAGAAACAGCTTTTTATTTTTTGCTGTTATATCAATCCCTCATTCACAACAATTTCAGCAAAGCAAAATTTAAACAATCAAGTCTTAGTTTACAATAACATACAAAAGTTTTATTAGCTATAATTATCAGTACCTATAATAATAACTATTTAATACATTACAATTAATATTTGCAATTTTAGTACGTTTATTAAGCATTTCACCTTTAATTTCTATCAAAAAAATTTTACAAGCTGTTTTTTAACATATTTATATTAAAACAAATTTTAAACTATTTGTCACTGTTCTACAATAAGTCTAAGTAAAAATAGAAGAAATTTAAATCATTTCTGATGCACGAAAAGACATGTAATTTAATTACAAATATAACTATTTGTATGTATTTTTTATCTTTAGAATTGTTAAATCTTATGAAAATATGTCACTTCAATCATTATTTGCTGGTTTTATGTTTTCACTATTAATGATAATAACAATAAAAACAAGAGGAGGAAACGAAGATAATTCTACTATAATTCCTGGCTAATTTGATTGATCTGTTCTTCGCAGTAATAATGGTCGTTACTATTGAAAATTATTTAATCAAATAAATTCCCTTAATCTTATTTACAATATTATATTAAATAAATTGTGTGATACACAAAAAAAAACTATTACTACAATAACTTGGCCAATCATTGACCAAAATTAATACAACATTTTTAATTTAATTTTATTTTCTAAATAGCATATATCGTAATTTAAATCACTAACTCAAAAAAAACAAACAAAAAAACAAAAAAAAGCCTTAGCCAGTTTCTAAATTTATTTATAACATATCACTCAGAACCTTATTCCTCTAATCTCTTAGTTTGAATCAACTATATGCTTTGGTTTCCAAAGAATTTTGTTTTAAAATAGTTCCCCAACAAGTAATACATTAATATTTCAATTATTGTGCTTCAGTTGCGAATATAAAATATGCATATTCAAAACATCATGTCATTTTCCTTTTGTACCAAATTTCATAAAAGAATGCATCTTACTGAAACTATGTAGAATCTATAATAGAAATTATATATTTTTTTGAATTCAGGTAATAGATTTATGAAATTTCAATGTTCTCAAAAATTTAGTTTGAACTTATGAAGATAAACCAACGAGATATTATTAGACTTCATAAAAACTAACTTAAAATTAAACTGTATCTAGCTTAATGAGAGGAGAGGGATACGAAAATTGTCACAAAAGAAAAAAGATTAGGAAGAAAAAAATACCATTTATGATTTCATTACAAAAAAAAGCATAAAAAATACAGTATTATAAATTACAATTTCAAAATCCGCTATCTTTGAAATCCTTATATAGCCAAAAGCATGAATGAAGTTACAGCTAAAAACTGTAAATATATACATGAATTTTTCCTACAAAATAAATATCTTTATTAAAATTCATAGAAAAATAATTTCTTCTTGTCTGCAACAATTATATTCAAAATTTTAAAAATCCAATAAGCACCATATTTATACCAAAAATAGAATAGAAACTCAAAAAATATTATTTATTTGAGTTCATTTAAAATATTTTACTTCGATATTTATTTCAATTTGAGATAATTTACTTTGACGGTTATGATTACTTTATATTTTTATGTATAATCAAAATTGCTATTCGTTAAATTAAAATAGCAATAAAGAAAATATCTCCGAAAAATAACTTTAAAATATTTTTTTAAACAAAAAAATTCACAAAATTTAAATTAACTACAAAAAAAGCAGGAAAGAAAACAGTAGATGCATACCCAAACTTATAATTGATATTTGAAAGTAGGTGGGAAATGTAGAAAACATTTTCTACCCTTATGAGAAAGTGTTGCATAGTTACTAAAACAATAAAGCACATCCCACAGACACCCCAGAAAAAGGTTAAAGCTGAACTATCTATATTAGAGGTTTATACTTAAAGAATTTTACAACAAATAACTTCAAAATTGTATAGATTAGGGTTGTAGTAGAAAAATGTGGCAAAATAAATTGCAACACTTAATGAAGTTTCCATTCTTATTCTGCTTCAAAATCCACATTTCATTACTTTTTAGTCAAAGGATACATATTTACACCCCAAGTTGCTTAAATTATTGAATAACTTAGTCAGCTCCTTAAATATGAGAATTAAAGTTTATTTTTAGCTAATTCGCAAAGTTCTCTAGCAAGAATAACTTTTAGGTAAGAAAACTAGTATTTGCTCAGAAAATTATCAGTTTATTTAGGGGAAGTCATAAGATTACAGAGTGGTTCAAAACTATTCACAAAAATTTGAAGGCAGCTAAAGGTGATCTAAATAAACTGATTTTGTATTAGAATGTAGAATATATGCTCAAATGCAGTGTTAAAAGTGCTAGCATGTAAAGCAGTATTACTCCCTAGTAATTGAAAAACAAGTTAGACAAAAGATTTATTAACACTTCCTAATATTAACAGATTTATTAACAGTTCCTAATAGCTTGCAACCAGTTTACAGTCAAATTATAGAATTACTTGATAGAGCGAGTATCAACAAGATTCAAAGAAGTGTTGCATGAATTGGTGTACATTAGCAAAAACAGTCAGCACATTTTCAGTGGCAACCAGATCTTTAGATGCTTCAAAACTATTGATTGTATAGGTTACTTGTTTTATATTTTACCCCACATGAAGAAATCCAAGCACGTCAAATGTGGAAAATGCGATGGCCAGTTCAGGAATGTGAGAAGAAATATATTAAAAGCAAGCAGCAATGATATTTTTATCTGCATCAAAAATTAGAGCACATGAAGCCTACTAAAAGCTAATTAATGTATTCATATTTAAAACTTACACGATTGCAAAACTATCCAAAAGGAGTGCAAGAAAAAGATCAACGGAAATATTATACCCAGAAATGATCAAGACCAGGGGTAATTTTTGATCACTAAAAAAGTAATATCTTTTAAATTCTAATTAGATTTTCAAACCAAAGAAGGTGGCATAGGACTCATCTCATATAACCTCAAACTTCCAGTAAATATTAAAATTCTATTTTGAATAGTTTTTTCACAAAATAGATGTTTGCGTTTTTTGATCAGGAATTACCCCAGTTCACCCTATCTTTATTAAAATTCATAGAAAAATAATTTCTTCTTGTCTGCAACAATTATAATCAAAATTTTAAAAATCCAATTAGCACCATATTTATACCAAAAATAGAATAGAAACCCAAAAAATATTATTTATTTGAGTTTATTTAAAATATTTTACTTCGATATTTATTTCAATTTGAGATAATTTACTTTGACGGTTATGATTACTTGATATTTTTATGTATAATCAAAATTGCTATTCGTTAAATTAAAATAGCAATAAAGAAATTATCTTTGAAAAATAACTTTAAAATATTTTTTTAAACAAAAAAATTTACAAAATTTAAATTAACTACAAAAAAAGCAGGAAAGAAAACAGTAGATGTATACCCAAGCTTATAATTGATATTTGAAAGTAGGTGGGAAATGTAGAAAACATTTTCTACCCTTATGAGAAAGTGTTGCATAAAACACATCCCACAGCCACTCCTTCCCCCAGAAAAAGGTTAAAGCTGAGCTATCTATATTAGAGGTTTATACTTAAAGAGTTTTACAACAAATAGCTTCACAATTGTATAGATTAGGGTTGTAGTAGAAAAATGTGGTAAAATAAATTGCAACACTTAATGAAGTTTCCATTCTTATTCTGCTTCAAAATCCACATTTCATTACTTTTTAGTCAAAGGATACATATTTACACCCCAAGTTGCTTAAATTATTGAATAACTGAGTCAGCTCTTTAAATATAAGAACTAAAGCTTATTTTTAGAATAACTTTTCACTTTAATCAAGAATAACTTTTTCACTTTAACTTTAATCAAGAATAACTTTTTGGTAAGAAAACTAGTATTTGATCAGAAAATTATCAGTTTATTTAGGGGAAGTCATGAGATTACAGGGTGGTTCAAAACTATGAAGTCAAAAATGTGAAGGCAGCTAAAGGTGACCTAAATAAACTGATTTTGTATAGGAATGTACAATATATGCTCAAATGCAGTGTTAAAAGTGCTAGCATGTAATGCAGTATTACTCCCAAGTAATTGAAAAACAAGTTAGATAAAAGATTTATTAACAGTTCCTAATATTAACAGATTTATTAACAGTTCCTAATATTAACAGATTTATTAACAGTTCCTAATATTAACAGATTTATTAACAGTTCCTATTATTAACAGATTTATTAACAGTTCCTAATAGCTTGCAACCAGTTTAGAATCAAATTATAGAATTACTTGATAGAGCGAGTATCAACAAGATTCAAAGAAGTGGCGCATGAATTGGTGTACATGAGCAAAAACAGTCAGCACATTTTCGGTGGCAACCAGATCTTTAGATGCTTCAAGACTATTGATTGCACAGGTTACTTGTTTTATATTTGACCCCACATGAAGAAATACAAGCATGTCAAATGTGGAGAATGCGGTGGCCAGTTCAGGAACGTGAGAAGAAATATATTAAAAGCAAGCAGCAATGATATTTTTATCTGCATCAAAAATTAGGATTAGAGCGCATGAAGCCTACTAAAAGCTAAATAATGTATTCATATTTAAAACATACCCAATTGCGAACTATCCAAAAGGAGCGCAAGAAAAAGATCAACGAAAATATTATTATTCAATTAAGAAATCATCAAGGTGCTTAATGAAGTGGAAATAGATGCAGAAAATGTTTAACAGTGATTATAAGGCCTTTAAAAAGTAAAACTATCATTTAATTTAAAGAAAAGATGATTAAGAATTCATTTAATCCTCCTCTTAATAAATCATTAATATGTTTTTCTTAATAACTTTGGCATTTGTGCAGAAATCAAATTATTTAAATAGATTATTTGTTTACAATTGCCTAAAACATTAACATAAAACTCAAGAACAGTTCAAGTTTTATTACAATGTTTTCACCTTTATAAAATAGCCATTAACTTCCCACTGCTAAAACTGTTCTGCAGATAATACAATACAATTGAAAGAATATTTTTAAAATAGCTTTCAAGATTGAAATTTGGAAATATAATTATACAGGATAATATGTAACTGTTCCTATCATAACTGAATAAAATGTTACATTTAAATCCATTATTCTTTTAATTTACAATAATAATATGTATTGTAAATAAACGAATAAATATTATGTTATACATTTCAAACTTGATAGTTATTTCAAACAGAATAGATAAATGAAGGTAAAATCAAAAAGAAAAAAATATTTCTTACCTACAGATGTTGGCATCTCTCCCCACTGAAGAACAACATTTTTATTAACTTTCCCACAAGAATTTACACAAACTCCTTCATCTAGAAATAAAAATAAACAATTTATTTTAACTCATAATAAATAATTTCAGTACCTAAACAGAACTATTCAAAAAATAGGATGGAAAAAATTCTACTAAAAATCATTATCTTAAAAGTTATTTCAAAATACAGTAAAAGATAAGAGAAAGAAAAATGCATAGCAAATTTTAAAAAAAAATGGAGATGCCTTAAGTTTTAAAAGATAAGTATGTTGAGTTCTTTAAATATAACAAAAACGTTAAAGTGAGAACAAGCACTGATCTCATGACAATTACTAAATATAGTTAATACCACTTTAAAATATAATTATTTAAAAAATTTGGAAAACAATAAAAACTATCAACACCTTCTTGAATGTTCTGAGTAAATTTTCCATTCCAACAATTTTTTAAACATCTTAAAACATTTAAGAATCAAACTAATTTATGTAATACTTTGTATTTGTATGTTTTCATTGCTAGAAAGCAAAGAAGATGTTTAATTACAAACTACTAACATTTTTAAGGATGTTTGGAACAGAAAGCTTTTTTTCTGCTCAACTCTTAAAAAAGTTGTAATTCTTAAATAGAAATAAAGAGAAGGATCTTGAGAAATCTAAATTTTTCTGATCAACAGTCAGGTGGAATTTTGCTAACAAAGAAGAAAAAGCTCGAAATGGATATTTTCAACAAAAAAAAAAATGGACAACATATTTCAAAGTTTAAACAACTTAATGTGAGTGTCGAAGAATACAAGCATTTAATTCAGATTTTTATACTACAGTTATAATTATTTTTCAAAAGAATTACATGGAACTAAAATAATTTCATAATTCGTAAATCTCTGCATATGCAATTTTAATTATAAGTAATTATTCAACAGACTTTTACAAATTCTGAAAATAGTTAAGTATTTTTCTGAACCTCAGACTTTAAGCTTTGAGAAATTAAAAGGTTTTCAAAGAATATATTTGTTTTTATTTTTTAACTCAATGATATCATCTGAAAAGTTACATTTGCAACTTTTCAAACGATCCTAGTCATCTTAACCTAGCAGTTCAAAATCTTAATCCATAAGGATTATTCCTAGTGCAGTGATAGGATATGTGCCTATAATACAAAAATATGATGGAAACTTAAAGCATTAAATAAATTCTCAATTTAACTTTTCATTTATAACTACTACAATATATTAAAATTACCAATGATATATATTTAAAATGAAAAATTAATAAACATTAAAAGTAAATAATAAATTAAAAGAAATAAATAAAAATATTTTTATAATTTTTATTTCCTTTAAGTTTCTTTTTCTCTTTCTTACTGAACACCACTTTTTACATTTTTTGGCACATGTTCCATCATTGTTAATGTTTAAAATTATATAAGTGTAATCCAAATTGTTTTAGTCTTATGTTAGAATTTTCGGGTCAATCTTTAATATTGAAAAAAATCATTGTGCCGAGACAATTTTTATAAATATACACTTTCAGCTTTATCTACTTTTTTTAAACACCCATTTGTAAAACTTTTAACACTTATTTTGAGCTATATCCAATTCTGTAAAACATGCATATCAAATTATGTTCATTTTCTTACATATGTTTTTTAGCTGTATCCAAAACAAACAGCTCAACAACAATTTAATCTTTTTAATAAATTGCAGATTAAAAAAAGTTTTATTTTAATTTTATCAGTTTATTTAAATTTTCATAAAATTTATTATTTTAATTAAATATTTAAGAAAGAGTATGCTAATAAACATCTTTTAATAAAAATTGACCTTTTTTAAAAAATAGTCTGAACATAAAAATTTTCACTTTATAAACAAGAATAAGAACATTTACATATATTTGTAAGAAATATATTTGTATAAGTACATTTAATGTTATTATTAATGGCTCAATATGTATAGATATATATAACATTGTTAAATAAATAAAAACTCTCATAATTCATCACAAACAACTTATTCTA